GCCATGAGGAAGTTCATCTTAAAGGCACGTCCCAGAGGTGTTTCTGGTCCCAAAAGGTGTTTCTGGTCCCAAAAGGTGTTTCTGGTCCCACCTGTCATTTTGCTCCTCAGCATGGCTTCATAAAAACACTGCAGGATTTCTCAAACATGATGAATGAGTCAGAGCAAGGCTTTGGGCATGTTTTTATGAGAGTATAACATTATAACATGATATAAAACTCAAAAAAGTGGATTTTACATGATATTGACCCTTTAAGTATCCATTCAGTTTAGTTGGATAGCTCAGTATTAATGTTTGAATATAAACTGCTTTAAAGTCAGCACCAAACATAAACTATATCTGACATAATGCATATTAGCTACTTACTAGAAACTCAGTGAGTAAAACTTTAGTTTTACTTTTAATATTTCTGTATTTATTACAGATTGAGTCAGTCGTACACTTAGTTCTTATCAGTGTTTAAAAGAGGACGTGTTAAAACTCTGTTTAGTCAAAGTTAAACATGAAACAAAGTTCATTACAACTGGCCCTTCGAGGTGAAAATGATTGACACTCCTGATCTGTACGATCACTATATGAAACAACACAGACGGTTACACAGGGCCGATGTAAACCAGTTCATAAATTAATACACAAATGTTTGACAAACACTTTTATTATTTAAATGAAGCTGAGTCAAAACCTGAGTTAAAATGTTTTATTTTCTCTGATACAATTGTATTTGCAATGAATCCCACATGTTGTCTTACTTATTAATTATTTAATAGAAAAGTAGTTTGAAGAAAGAAAAACCAGAACAAGTCCAGTGCAGAAACTCATGAAGAAATGTTCTGCAGAATAGGAGGAAATATCAGGCTTTTACACATAAAGGTTTTAATTTTCAGCTGATGTTTCTTTAGCCACATCCATCAGATCATCCAACAGATCTGAAACAAAACAAAAGATTGAGATAAATCATAAAGCAATACAAAAGAAAAACTCAGTCCAAAACTTACACAGACTTTGAAATTTCAACAAGTCTTACCAAGCACAGTTGCTTAGACTGGTAGATTATTTGCCTTAATCCATTTATTAGGGAAGAAACAGACTATAAACTAATGTATATATATTTTTATTTTAGATGGATAATTTTTGCAGTGTAATAATTGTAATTGTTTGTCTGTTAGCAAAATATTTCATGAATCAATGGATACATTTTCACGACTCTCAAAAGTGTAATCCCTGATGACTAACTTTTCAAATTAAATCAAATTTATAGCACATTTTTAAAAAAGTGCTGTTAGTCACAGTGATGCACAAACATTAGAAAATACATTACCAAATACAGTACTGTATAATAAAGCAAATAAAGTTACAAATATGACAAGACATAACACAAAACTATAAAATAATGCAGTGTCAACTCAAGCTGCGTTAAATGCCAGTGGGTACAAGTGTGCTATAAGATTATAATTCAATTCAGTTTATTTATACAGCTCCAAGTCACAACATACGTTGTCTCAGGGCACTGTACATAAAAAGAACAATGTAAAGAAGAAAGCAGCAGATTGTGTTGAATCACTTCATCACAGTCTCCCATCCTGAGCAAACGGTGGCGAGGGAAACTCCCTAATGATGTATTTTGAATTATCTGGTTTTCATGATTCCATATTTTTTCCCTGTGCTTGTTCAATAAAAGTAACATTCACTCACTTCCACAATGTTTTCTCTTCATTTCTTTGAGTGTTCCTGAAAGCCAACAAGTTGACCTTTGGAATGACCTTATTATTGTATCATGTTTTTGATCTGAGTTTGTTTTACTGAATGAAATGTCTGAATGAGTGCTCATCCAAGACTGCTGATTCCAGACTTTTTGACAGGGGTTGAATGACAAATTTTTCAAAGAAACCAGAATATACAATAAATTACAACGTTTAATTTCTCAGAACAGTCTCTTCTGTTCGTGATTCATTTGTCGTTTAACTGAGAATGTTTATGCATTTGTTAAATCATGATAATGACTGTCACAGGAAAAGTGGAACCACTTCTTTTCTCTTATCGTGCCTTAAAGATTTATAATGGTATAAAAAATCACAGAGAATCTGATTACAATGTTTTCATTGTGTTTTTATGTAAATCACTGTTTTAATTTCACTGTGAACACAGTAATACAATTGTGGA